CAGTGCAGTGATATAATTAAGAACAAATATCAAAACTCACCTTTGTTGGAATTTTATAAGAGTCTTCTACTGACACAATTTGATAATTTGCATAAATTTGCTCGTGGGCTGTTTTCTGTTTTTGGTACTACTTATTTGTGTGAGAAGACCTTCTCCAAAATGAAGTACACAAAAAATGTTTACAGATCTAAATTAACTGATGAGCATCTTAAATCTCTTTTAATAATTGATACAAGTAAAATTAGTCCACAACTACAAACTATTGTCAGTGGAAAATCTCAATTACATAAATCTCATTAGTATTTCATATGTCATTATGCTTGTTATAAGTTATGTTTTTATTTAAAATGTATAAAATGTTAGTTGGATTCATTTCAATAATTTGTTAGTTATTATATACTGAAGTTAAATTTTCTGCATATTATACATGTCTCTACTCATTACAATTCTGTGTTTCTTAATCCAACTTATCACAAAAACAATAACAATAAGCCTACAACAATGTTATGAGTAGTTAGCCCATGACCATATCAATGTAGATGCCATATTAATAATTATTCAACGTAAAATTAGAACACTTCAGTAAACTAAATTTAGTTTGCTATAAAAAATATGTACTCTAAAAAGAGTTTTCAAGTATGCTAGCTCTCCGCGGGCCGCACAAAATCTGTCCGCGGGTCGGATGTGGCCCTCGGACCGTAGTTTGGATACCCCTGCTCTAAAGTATCACGCTAACGTTATCAAACTCTTATTCAGAACTATCGTTAATTTTACAATTTATGTGGTAGATTTAACATTTTGATTTCTGTGACTTTTACCAAATGGAATAGAAATAATCCGTTTTCGGTTCTACGGTTTATTTAAAATTGTAACTTATTCATTATTTTGCTAGGAATAAGGTACATTTAATTGTTTTCATTTCCGAATATATTTCTCAATTATAACAAGGGGATGAAGGATATGAATGGTGGGTTTAAATGCTTAGTCAAATCGTTTATATGTGATGCTAGACTTAGATAAATCAAACTACAGTGACTGTTTTATCACTTTTCATGAGTTGGTAGCACTTAAATATTTATTCAAGTATACCAAAGCTTTTATTTGTAAATGAAAAAACTTTATAAATAAAAAATCACTTAATTGTAAAAAATCAGATTTAAAAACGTGGCTGAGCTACTAATGTTTAACTCTGTAACTTTGTAATTTTGAAATCAATCCAGAAGACAAGAGAAAGTTTGAATCAAGAATTAGAAGAAATATACCTTTGTGGTGGACTTTTTAAAGAAACCTAACCCACATTTGCGTGACATGTAGAGGAAAAACTACGAAAAACAAGAGAAAGTTTGAATCAAGAATTAGAAGAAATATACCTTTGTGGTGGACTTTTTAAAGAAACCTAACCCACATTTGCGTGACATGTAGAGGAAAAACTACGAAAACATCCCACGGTTTGATTTAAAACGTAAAAAAAAAAAGAAACAACAACTTGAATCTGCATTATGTTTCCATCTAACACCAAAATTCAAAATGTTTAAATAAAAAAAAACAATTACCTGAAATAGTAAACATCACAAATTGAGAAAAAAAGGTATGGTCTAAACAACCAGAATATGGTGAAAAATATGGTTTTACCGAAGCATCTGAAAAAGTAATCATTTTTGCCAAAGTACTTTGGAAATGCTTTGGTTAAAATCAGCAAAAAAAGGTGGTTTTATTACCTTGCTGTTTGATATTAAATTTGGTAATTTTATCTTGGTACCTCAGAGCAAGTCACAGAAACCATTTATTTAGTTAAATTAACTTTTCAGATTTGGATTTTAGTAAATGCGTGCTGATAAAAACTATATTTTTGAGCACAAGAATTTCCGATAAGTCGTTTCCACTTGAATGAAAAATATGCGAATAAATGGTCTAAATACCGTATATTTTAGTTTTGATACCCTAATTGTTTTGTTGTTTTTCATTGAAACATTATATTATGGAAGTAATTAATTTTACAAATTTGTTATCTCGAAGTAGTTTCGGCACCTACATTACTGTTACCTAAATGTAGTATTCTGCTTCTTTATGTTTTTACATTTATTATAATATAAGACAGAAATATTTTCTCTCAATTACAAGTTATGGGAACATTGTAAGCCTGCATTTACTTTATTATTTTATATTTTAAGTTAATATAGAAAAAACTGTTACATAACTTACACTCTAGTCTAATTTACAAGCTAAACCATTAAGACGAAATTGTTTCTTGTTAAATTACATAGTGAAAAAAAATTTATAATGGTGGATAACAGAGTTTACAGTTAAAATTTGCAGAGAAGAGTTACATGTCGAGAAGAGTGATCATAAAATCATATAAGCAGCTTCTCTTGTGTGTAGTACGTATATATATATATATACAGTGGTGGCCAAAAGTGTGGACACTTTTTGAAAGTTTCATGTTTTTCAACTTTGTGTGCTTGCAGAATATATTAATTTTCACTTAAATACAAAAGTTTATATATCAAATTGAAGGTAATTTAATGTGAAATTTAATAACAAAAACAGAATTAAAATATTTGTATTAAAAAACAAGTTATGCCTATTTTAGTAGAACAAACAAACGTAAATCGTTTTGAATAAAGACGTGTTTTGTAATAAAAGTGTACTAGCCAATCACAAACACTGTTCTTAGGACCAATCAAATGTCTGTAACTATAGTTTAGGTTATTTGGATGGCAAAAGAGTTATTGTTGTGGAAATATTTTGCGGAATGATGCATACTAGTACAATTAAATAGAGTATTGCTGTTTTTTAATATTTAAAGTCCTTTTTTTAAATATTAAACTAATTTTAAACAATGTCATCAACAAGAAGAACTAATTGGACATCTACAAAAATAAGCCGAATTGTCATATTGAGAAAAAATGGCCTCTCTTATGCTGAAATTGCAAGACAAGTTGATGGTTCAGTGACTTGTTCTGGTGTACGAAAGTTCTGTTTACGTTATGAAAAAACGAAATCAGTGGAAAATAAAGCCAAATCAGGCCGAAAAAAATGCACAAGTGCTACTGCCGATAGAAAAATTAAACGGCTATGCCTTCAAGATAGAAAAATTTCATCAGATGCCATTAGATGTGAAATGAATGCAGCGGGTATTGCAGTAAGTTCAAGAACAATAAGAAGAAGGTTATCAGGATTTGGACTACAAGCTAGAATTCCAAGGAAAAAACCATATTTAAATCAAAAGCAACGCGAAAAACGAGTTAAGTGGGCAAAAGAACACATTAAATGGTCAGAAAATCAATGGAAGCAAGTAATCTGGAGCGATGAGAGTAAAATATCGCTCTTTGGTAGTGATGGTAGAAAATACGTGAGACGTAGAGTAGGTGAAGCACTTCATCCTGATTGCATTGAAGCAACTACAAAAAACCCAACAAATGTCATGATTTGGGCATGTATGTCTGCAGATGGTGTGGGCCGAATTCAAGTGATTGATGGCATCCTGAATGCCAAAAAATACATCGAAACTGTCCTGAAACCAAAATTGATACCTTCCATCAGGGATCTCTTCCCCAACAACGCACCATTTATTTTTCAGCAGGATTCAGCTCCATGCCACACAGCAAAAGTATGCAAAGCATGGTTTCAAAATAAAGGCATAGATATATTACCATGGCCAGGAAACAGCCCTGATCTCAATCCAATTGAAAATTTGTGGCGACGTTTGAAAATTCTTGTACGAAAAAAACGTCCATCCAATAAAAGACAACTTATTGAAGCTATAATTGATTCTTGGCACCATGTGATTACGAAAGATGAACTCCAAACACTCGTTCACTCGATGAAAAGACGCTGTGAAGCTGTCTTAAAAAATAAGGGTTATCCTACTAAGTATTGATTGTGTAAGTATCACTTTAAAAAAATGCAAATCTAAGATAGATCTTACTAATAGTTGCATAACTTTTTTTGTAATACAGATGTTGTAATACTGTATTTATTATTAAATTTTACATTAAGTTACCTTCAATTTGATATATAAACGTTTGTATTTAAGTGAAAATTAATATATTTTACAAGCACACAAAGTTGAAAAACATGAAACTTTCAAAAAGTGTGCACACTTTTGGCCACCACTGTATATATATATATATATACGACATTTTTTTTTATAAATGTAATTTTTATCACTTCGGTTTTCTCCATGCATTTATGCATAGTAAAATTCATATTTAGAAATGTGTATAATTATTGTCTTATTAATTCACTCAGTTCCAAATATTAGCATCATGACTTATAATATCCATGTTCTTGCAATAATATGTTTTCTAAGATAATTATTGATCAACTTTAAATAATTTAAATAACTTATCTTAACCAAACTATATAAATTTTAAAATTTAGAAATGTTTTTTTTAAATTTATGTTTTCATAAAAATAAAAATAAATAAATTAAAATATGTAAGATTTTTTAACTATGTAGAAGACTCAAGGAATTTTATATACCATTAATTCAATACAAAAGCTGAACCTAGGGACCCACGCTGTACATTTTTATAATAGAAAGCAAAGCATAAGCAAACTTAGCACAATTATTCGACTCACTGAGTATGATTTAAATCATATTTATTTTTATATTTACCTTTTTTATGAAAATAAATGCAGTGCAACTTAAAGGAAGTGCTCTTTATTGTTTATGAAAATGGAAATAAGTGAAGTTTTGAAAACGTTGTTTTTGTTAAAATATTTTCGGTGTAATCCCAATTTGACGAAACTTAAACAAGTCAGGCCATTATTCAACAAATGCATAATTATCTAGAGTAAATGAAATCGAACGGTAAAGTTTAAATTTAGGATATGGCTATTTACTAAAACCCTCATTTCTGTTAAATTATACAACAAGCAATGTTTAACGTCCTAGATTAAGCAGAAATCAACATATCTCAGCGGTTAACTTATGTATATTTCACAAACATATGTGTTTCATTCTGAGAGAATAAAATGGTTGCAAGTTAGCTTACCCTTTTTCCAGGAAATACTATCAAATGGATATCCTCCGAAAGGGCAAAGGATAGAAAATTTTTCTCCGGATAAAGCACTCAAATTATGAAGTGACCGAATGAAGAGATTTCCAAAAACATTCAATCTTCTCGAATGAATTACACTTCCAGCATCGTTAAATGCTTCGCATGTGTATAAACCACTATCCGTTATATCCACAGCTGTGATATTGACGTAGCTGAATACTTCACCCTGGTTATTTAAATAAGTACTGACGAAAACTCCAGGTCTAGTCGATACAGGCCATTGGTTATCCATGGACCATTTAAACTGTGGCTCAGGATTTCCTGTTGCAACGCACATCAAAGACACGAAAACTCCTGGTCGAACGATTTTCTCAGGAAAGGTGAACTTCAGTTTAGGAGTAATATCTGGAAAACATATTTACATGAATATCTGATAAAAATTTACTAACTAAAACTGATTCGTAGTAGTATGATAGCGAATTGTTGTTATTCTAGTTTTGTTAACAATAATTTTTGGGGAGATTTTATAATTATTGATAAAACGAGATAATGACGCGTGTGATTCTTAGTTGTTTGTTATGCGATTGTTATTTAAAATAAATAATTAATAAATTATTAAAAACACGTGACATAAAAAGTGTAATTTAAATTAACATCTTTATAGAGGCCTCTTGGTGAAAATTCACTATTTGGCAACACACTTTTCTGGCAATTACTGCAGATTTTGAGACTATACTAACTGAAGGGAATTTAGATGAACTATGTATCTTATCAAGCAGCGTATCTCTCAATAGCATTTAAGTAATTAGGTCCTTGCAGATGATAGTCACGATAGAGTCAGTCACACTATACAACAAAAATCGCAGATTATTTTAAAGCTCCATTTTCAGCGTGTCCCTTCACACATGGAGCTTTGAGGTAACGAGATGTTGGAAAAACTTACAAACTGGAGCTTCTGGCATCTAATTCATTCTTCTACTTTTCTTTTCGATCAAAATTATTCTCTATGAAAAAAGCGCAACTTGAGACTATGCGAATGATGCTCACTGCTTTTCGGGTATAAAGTTATCACTGGTATTTGAATATAAGGCCGAGTTCGACTCATAACTTTGTTTGTGACCTTGTTTGTTCTTCTTGTGACCTTGCTTGCAGACTAAATAACCTTGCTTGTGACCTAAGCTCTTAGAGAGCACCTTCATGGCTAGCTGGAAGCCTCGTTAAAAGCCTCTCTTTTATAGATAGTATTAAAATATTCGCTATCTGCAAAAATTCCACTATCAAGATGTTTTTTCTAAACACATTCTGGAATTTTGGACATCACATAAGAGGGAATTTATTCAAATCCTATCCTTGTCATTGACTTCCTTCGAGTTAACAGTTTTTTTTAAACCTGATCTGACTTCATCAGACTTTGGAGATTCGAGACAACAACACAGCAAACACAAATACACTATCATAGGTTTAAAATAAAAATAAAAAAAATTATTACTTATATTGGGTTTTAAAAATTAGTTAAGATAATATGGGTTTAAAATTTTAATGTTTAAATAGAAATAAGAGACAGTGAAGATCAAATACATACTATGACTTTTTACAGACCAAATGCATACTGTATCTGTTTACATGGTTGCATAATCAATGAGAGTTGAGAAGTATACATGGTTATCCAACATATACGTTTTAGACTTTAGAAAATTCTAGAATACCTTTTTTGCGGTTAATACAAAAGAGTAAAATTTAAACTTTAGATAACTCATATAGTGTACTTGACATTTATTAAATAAATATCTCGGCATCAAAATCTGCAGACTGTATTTTCTAATTGAGCACTTGCTGATGGGTGGGAGACACTAATATTATTTATTTGTATTCCTTAAAGATATTTAATATTAAGATATTTACATTATTGAGCATGCCTTTTAGTAATGTTCTGCAGGCAAACGAATAGTGGATACTGAAGATCAGTAGTTATTGCTCTGCTTATCATTACCAAGTTGCAAGGATGAGCACCACTGGAAGCATCATTCACATTTTAATTTCCGAATAAGGAATAAAAAACCAAATAACTTGAAAATTTCAAAAATGATTTGCTAAAGTATAAATACAATAAAATGAGGAAAAAAAATGAATGAACAAAATTTTTAAGAGTATTTTAATGATTTTCCATATTTTGAAGATTTGCAAGGGTACTTTTACTACGTGTAACGAAAAAGATTCTTAAAGAAAGTTACAACTATTGTTTTAGAATCTATGGTATAAAAAAATTAAGGAATAAAACACCTAAATTGCTCAAAATTTGACATTTATAACTGTTTGTGCATTCATGTCAAACGACTCAGGCTTTTTGAAATTTGCTGCTACTGCATGTGATAATTAGTACTACATATATGTTTAGGATTCATTATTACACATTCTCTACACCTGAACTTGGCGCAAAATTTATTATTTATTGAGTTCGTTATAAATATATTGGTTATAGATTTCATCTTCCTCGTAAAAAGTATAACAGTTTTTATACCTCTATTTACTACATTAATTGCGAAAAAAAAGGCTAACAATTTGAAGACTTAAGTATGAGTAATTTTTTATTAACTTCATATTGAATTCTATAAATTTTATTTAAAAGAAAAGAAATATCCGTTGCATTATATTATTTTCCTGAAAGTCTCCGATAAAAATAATGCATGTTTTTATTCTTTTTTTTTTGAAAAATAATTTTTAGGTGTGAGTAAAGTACAAAGACTAGTTGAATTTAAAAGAGTGCTCACCTCCAATAACTAACTGAGCACTTGCTTGACTTTCGATATTATTCCTTATAGCAAAACATTGATACATTCCTGAATCTTGTTTCATAACTTTCATTATATGCAATACTGTTGGCATAGATGTTGATATTCGTGAAGATGCCGATAATGATTTCATATCTTTCATCCACTTTATCGAGTCCGCAGACCCTCCAGCAACAGAGCAGTTAAATGTGGCTTCGTTTCCAATATCTACTCGTAAAAGTTTTGGAATAATATTTAGGGCAAGATCTTCTGGAAAAAAGCAGAATATGGATTATATGTTAAAACATATTGGCTAAAATCTACTAAAAATTATGAATTGAGAAATAAAAATTGGATGAAAAGTTTAAAATAATTGCAAATACAATTGAAAGATTATTAGAAGACAGGATACTTAATTTTTTGTATTTCTGCTGCATGATTTGTGTAGTACAGGAGGAAATACATTCTAACTCATACGTTATTTTTTAGTTTTTAAAAATGCAAATTTGATAATATTTCGAGAATGTATTTAATTATAAGCAAATATTTTTATCGAAATTTCTGTTTCATTTACTGTGAACTATTACATGCAATTATTTTTATAATAAAGAGGAGCAAATGGTATAAGTACTAGATATATGAACTTGTTTTTGGCTTTAGCTCCAAAAAATGATCACTATAAGTACATAATAGACCGGTAAAAGTTACAGTGTTGATAAAAACTTCATACATATACCTTTTAAACGACTTTAACCGAAAAAGGAAAACCGAATATTTATTTCATTAGGTGAATCAAAAATGATTTTTTAAAAATTATGAAATTGTAATTTTTATTTGATTAATCTTAATTATAAAAAATTCTTAATTCTTTTAACTTTATTTAAAGTATTAATTCTCAGTGAACCAATTTCTTAATATTGTATTTCACATTCATGTTAATTTATTCATAAGACAAGCAAATTGATAGATGTTGGAGGAAATGGAGGAAATTTAAAAGGAATCGTAAAGATTCAACGCAGTAAATTACAAAGCAAAATGGCATGCATAAAATATAGTAGTGAATTGAAAAGAAGAAAGCAAAANAAAAAAAAAAAAAAAAAAAAAAAAAAAAAAAAAAAAAAAAAAAAAAAAAAAAATAGAAATCTAAACAGGATTCAAAATCTTGTTCAGATTGCGATTCTTGCTTAGATTCAAATTTATTTGTTTAGACCCAAATTTTAAAATCGTTTTTAGATTTGTATTCAGAGTTTCAATTTTCTTTCAATTTTATTCTACAAAATGTTTAAAGAAATTAAACTAATAACTTATAAGAAAGTGAAACATACATGTAGCTCAGTATTTAATTTTTTGTTGAATAACTGATAAGTTTACCAACCTAATATGCTTTTGGATTGTCGTAATTTGATCATAGCTTTTGGCATTGTTCTTTAATATATCTGTTACTATATCGCAATAATTACATGTTATTTAATTTTTATTCAAATATTTAATATGGTTTACACCTTGTTTAATATGGTTTACAACTTCTTTTATTTTAGTAACTTTTTTTCTAATTTAATCTAAAAAAGTATATATATAATTGTCATTCTTAAACGATTTAAAGTGACTTATTGAAAATCAATCAAATGTGTCCCATTTTCTTCCACATCAATTGCTCTTAAGAGGTTTGAAAAGTATGGCACTCTGCCTGATTACCCTGACGCAGATTTTCCCAAAGCTTAATGATCTTTTCGTTGAAGTGAAACGGAGTGAAAGGTTTGAAGTGAATTCTTCATTTTACGAACAGACTCGGATTATAAAATATAGGTCACAAGAGAGAAATTTCATTAAGAGTCTGTGTCTAAGTTACTAAATATTTTATACGAATTGAACATAATAAATTTTAATGCTCCTCACAATGAACATTCAGAATGATGTTGAAGACTAAGTTATAACATTAGAAAAAATTTAATTTCCAGTTAAATTTACTTAATTTTAAATTTATTTTTAACTTGAACTCTAGTTAAAGAAAATTTTAATTGTATCACCCTTTTTAAAAAGTTTCTTTTGATCCAAAGCCTTTACTTATGAGTTACAATGTTAGAGATGAACCCAAGATTTTGACGACATGCAAGACAATAATATATATATAT